ATTCCCATACACTATTCTTCAGGGTGGATGTGGGTGGTTGTGTGAGGTGTGGGGTGTGGTGTGGATGTGGGTGTGGGGTGTGGTGTGGGTGTGGGTGTGGGTGTGGGTGTGTGGGTGAGGGTGTGGGTGTGGGTGTGGGTGTGGGTGTGGGTATGGGTGTGGGTGTGGGTGTGGGTGTGGTTGGGGTGTGTGGGTGTGGGTATCATAATAGTCAAGATAAACATCTACGCTCACACTCACACCCACATCCACACACCGTACACCACACCTATACACCCACAACCACACCTACACTCACACACCCACACCCGCACACTCACACTCACACCCACCCACCCTCCACACCCACCCACACCCACACCCTCTCCATACACCCACACACCCACACCCACACCCACACCCACACCACACCCCACACCCACATCCACACCACACCCCACACCCACACCTACACCCACACCCACGCCACACACCCACATAAAATAACAGGGTCAAGAATGCCTAAGAAGAAAAGTGATCCGCATAAACATTTAATTCCCATACACTATTCTTCAGGGTGGATGTGGGTGGTTGTGTGAGGCTTCATAAATAGTAGAACCACACCCACACCCACCCTCAATTATTGAATAGTACGAGCTGAGAGACGACAAATTCGATTTGTTTCAGACAAGTTGAATCTGTTTCTGCGATTGACGGTAATAATGTTTCTACTACGAATCGCTAACCATCTCTTGTATGTTGAAAATATAGTTGTACGCCAGTTGACTATTTTGGGTGTGAGTGTGGGTGGGTGTGGGTGTAAGTGTTGGTGGGGTGTGGGTGTGGGTGTGGGTGTAGGTGTCTTATCTTCATACACACCCACACCCTCATGTTTTCATATTCCTTATCATTAGCTATTCTTGACTTTGTATAGAAGTTCTCTTCACCATTTATATAGACAGTCCTCTTAGATTTATCAAAACTTTGCTCTTAGATAAGTTTTTGTTGTATATTATCATTGTTTTAGAATACTTTTCTTTTGTCCTGCTCGATGATAAGGCATTAAAATTCGCTGTTGTTTTTTCACTAGTAGCATTGTTTTAGAGGGGTGCGCGAATACGACTACAAATTGCAGTCCCGAAAAACACAACCCATCCAAACATACTATCGGGGAATAAGTATTTCCGTATACTTGCTTACAGTACGTCCTACCAAATGAAAGTGCTCAATCGGCCAAGAAACTATAGTCTCTTGTAGTCTCTTGGAGTGGGAGAAAAAAACCCTAAAATTTGTAGAATTGGTAGTATTGTCATATGATACTTTAGTTCAGCTTACAGCGGATTCAATTGAACTTTCGAAAAATTTTGTGGAACTCAGATATATTTGCGAAGAAAATAGTGAGTGTAAGTTTTCAGTTCAAGTTTTGGGTGGCTCTCTCCTCCCCCTCCCCATTACAGACACTTAGCAATGGAGAAAGAAAACATTACAGACATATCCTCCATTACGGACAGGTCACCATTACAGACCTCCGCAACCGCGCATAGAAGGCTTTAGATTTTATATAATATATCAATGCTTTCATAAATATTCGAAAAAAAGCTATTTTGCAATTTAAAAATTAGGCATCAGGATAACAAGTTTAAAAGATATATGTAAGTTCCACATTTCAGCTCCGTGGGAGCTGCGCTAACAAGCTTTTTTAGTATTGTTCTATTGGGATATAGGAAGTCCCGTCTTATAGGTTGCGATGGAAGTTTAGTAGCTATAGCAGGAGGTAGAACTAGGTATAATTGGGTAATGTAGGTATTGGAGGAGAACCACATATCTGTGTCCATAGCTGTAACGTTCGGCTACCAATGACTGTTTTCCTGATTTTGAAGATTGCATTACATTTAACAGGAATTATGTTTTTCTGTTGTAAAATTGTAAGAATTCGGGTGTTTTCAGTTTCATTCCTTTCGGCATTGCTCCTGTGGTTTTAATAGATACATATCAAACGTGAAATATGAGTTCAATTGAAATTTTCGGTTTCAGGTGAATTTTCAATTTAGTAATTTTCAACTTGAAATCCCGAAGTTTCTAGACTCACGTTCGAACATTCTGCTACTGTATATTGACTTGCTACAGCGATTTCTGCGAGTAAGATTGCGACACTCGTGATTGATAAAACTATAGTCCATTTCTGCCGTTCTAGTGCAACAACATGTTCTGATAAGAGGGTGAGTTCCTCATTATTCATGAAACTAACATAGCCGTACCGTAAATTGACGGAACGGTGCGTATGTTAGTGATTGTCTGGTAGTTATGATTTTTGAGTCCCCTTTCGCCGTACCCTCATCGGTATCGATCATGCACGTGTCTGAGTGATTGCGTCTTGGGTCTCATACTCGAATCTCCTTTGGACGCACTCTCACCTATCACGATAATACGCATGTGTGAGATTCTGTGTAGATAATGACTCTTGAAACTCGTTTTCCTAGCGCAATACAATAGAGCAGAGGTCAATCCGTCATCCTATATTTGAACCTGTAAAGTACTTCATACGTCCTCTCCTCCTTGCTACCTTCAATACCACCCATACTTTCTGATAACTCGTATACCTACTATACTGGCTTATACCAATATACCACTTCTATCTCCTACACTTTCGATATCTTCATAAACAAAAAAAAATAATACATTATTCGCAAATTTATTTGAACGTCCTCGAAACTAAGGTAAAGCATCAAATCATGCGACTACAAATCCTCCATATTCTAGTTTTTTCCCTCACTACAAGCCACTCAAAAGGACCACAAACCGAGATAAATACTACAAATTCCAGGTTTTTTCTTCCACTACAAGACCTTACAAGAGACTATATCGGACTGCATGACACTGCAAATTTTGCAATTTCCAGATTTTTTCCCCCCACTAAAAGAGACCAGAAGAGGTTACATGGAACTACATGACGATACAAATTGTATTTGTATTCGCGCACTGCTGTTGCTTTAGGTGTCAAAATTGACTGATAAATCTGAACTATGACTTTATTTTGTTTCAGGTTTGCACAAAATGCTTAGGAGTATCGAAAAGTAGCGGCAGTGACATTTTAATACCATATTGTAAGCTTTAAGAAACTTTCTTTCTATATATTCTGATATCGACAAGAATGCTCTATTTTTCTCTGCTAGTTGATCATACTTCAGCTAATACTATAATAATATTAAAGAAACTGCATGAAAACGTGTATTATAGATTTGTTGGCATGTCTTTTTATAGGTTTGAAATTGACCTGTTTGGAACCAAATCTACTTAGTAAGGTGTCTACACCGAACTATAATTACCAGGTATGTATTCAATGCACTAATGGAAGATCTAAGAAACTGCATAAGATTTAGACGTTTAGAATTAATGCTTTTCGAGTTATAGATATTCTAATCAAAGCTCTAAGTGATTTTTCTAGCATTTTCTGAGAAGAAATAAAAATCATACTTTCCAATGGTTAGAAAATTGATTGAAGAAACTTCAGATAACATCTTGGAAAAAAATACCATAAGCAATTTAAAGTATCTTCATCCCTACTTTTCATCGCTGAAATGTGTAGCTTTCTATCTTGTTTATCTCAAAAGTTATGTAAAATACATAGTATAACTGTTCTATATGCTAAAAGAAACAAACCGTATCGAAATTTCATTATTATGGTATTAGTTGCAGTGTGATGAAACAGCATAGAAAAATAGGGCATTCTTTCCTCTATCAAACTGTGTAGAAAGTTTCTTAAAGCTTACTATATGCTATTAAAGTGTCACTGCCAGCACATCTGGATAACCCTAAGTATAATTTGTTTGTCGTGAAAAACTAAAAGATGCTGTAATTTATAACCTGTACAACAGATCTATCGTTTTTCTTTTTGTTTCAATTTAAATGGTATGAAATGACCAGAGCGAAAGGAGTATTGTACATTACTCGGATATTTATTCAGTATGAATGGTGTTTCATAGATTGCAACTACGACGAAAGAATAAAGACAATTCTCTAGAGAAAGTAGTCTTGTTTAAAAAAATTTAAGTATTTGCGACTTGAAGGTCTTTTTAACGTAGAACATATTAAGTCAAGATTCAAATATTTCTTAGAAAGAATTGTTTCTACATGTAGCCAAACAAAGCTCGATTCCTACCATTTTGAGAAATTTCATGTGCAGATTCACTTTGCTTGTCGTTGGAGCAGAGTTAAGTTCATCGAACTCAATTTGACCTCGGTTGATAGTACGAATGACTCCATGTAAGAGCATGCTCTTCCAAGAAAAACTCGTAACTTCACCTAAGACACTGTATGTGATTGTGTCTAGGATTGATGAGGCTTTTTTCTTGCATTTTTCAATATTTTCTGTTTTTAGCGAATGGTGAAGTTCCATTAATTACATCCTTCCTACAGTTTTGGTTGTGACTTCGATAAATACCATTCGTCACCTCCTGTATAATTGTTCTTGATAGTAGAATATGTAACAAATAAAAACTGCATGATATTGGACATGTTGATATCTCAATTAGGAATGAGTTTTGTGTTTACATAAACAATCTGTGTGTTTGTTTTGCTTTTAGATCAATTTTTTGGAAAGCAAAAAGTAAGTCATCGTAAGATGACCATTTACTTATTCAAATTTCTAATTCTTTTCTTATCATTTGTCAAAAATGTTAAAACCGACTACAAATCCATTATAGAACAAACTGATTCTGATTATTATGGAACGCGTTTTGCTAGCAATGATTATATTAGTATCCTTAGTGAAAACGAAGACAACCGTTTTGATATTGCAGTCAATGTGTTTGGATCTGTTCAATGTACAAAGTTTCTTCACTTTGAGGAAGATGAAAGAGGGGAAAGTAGTATTTATGTCATTAACGTAGCAGTGGGTCGAAATCAAAATGAAACTCAGTTATATTTTATTTATTTGATGACTAATAAAACGGATAAGGACCTAAGTCTCATTGTTGGTCGTATCCAAGTCAATTTGACTGTGAAACAAAACAATGAACATGATGGTTACGAATTAATAGAATGTGAAAATGATTTGGTTAATTGGGAAGATCACTGGTATGATCTTGACTTTGAGCCACCATCACTATCGAACATGCAGGTGGATCTTAAAGGAGAGTATGCCTATATATTTCTTCAAGAGTTGATATTCATCTATGATATAAAGGCAAATGATGTCAAGGAAATCTGGACGAATGATGTGATACCATCATATTGGTTCAATCCGCATGCGCTAGACATTGGCGAAACCAGTGACAAAACAAATATTGCTATCATTGTCGGCTATGTGGAAGAAGAGGAAGAAGTTGATATATCGTTACCCGTCGTCTGTCTTGTTCGACTTGATCCACCATCAAATATGACTCTTATTAGTAACATCACTCTTGAAAACACCACTGTAGAAGATAATATTGCTTTCTATACTAACAATGATGACGTCATTTCTGTTGTAATTCATGATCGAACTAAAAAAGTTCTAGTTTCAATGCCTTATTTGGGCAAAGTACATCTTCTTTCATTTAATAGTACGAATATTATTCTTATTAGATCGTTTATAAGTACCGCTCGGTCAGTTGCTTGGCTTGATGATGATGGCATATTGGCAGCATTTCTTATTTTGGATGATCCGACGCTTCCTTGGGCGCATTCGAAAATTCAAGTAGTTAATACATCTACAAATAATGGTCAAGTGATGTATGTTTATCCAAACAATCAACAAATACTTTCACCTGAATGGAAGGCACCATCATTTGTTCGAATTTCTACAACCCGCTCTCACCAATTACTCTTGTTAGATAACGACGGATGGATAGGAATTGTACCAAAAGCTCCACCGGGTTATTTTGCCCACATCAACAAATTTGTCAGAGAGAAAACATATTTTGAAAAATGTCCACCAGGAACATACAAAAGTAGTAATGAAGCAAGTCCATGTCAAATCTGTCCTCCAGGAACCAAAAGCAACATGCACAGTGAGTCAATCAAAATTTTTCTTTTCACCATCAAACAAAATTTCTGACGAAGAATAAAACAAGTTAGCATAAACGTTCCTATTTCCATCAATAGACGGGTATCTTATTATTTTTTTCCTAATATGTCTCAGCGGATAGCATACATATTCTTATAAATCTATTTTTTCTTGAAATCAGTTCATATAAACCGAGGACAACTGATTTAGTCACAAATCAATCGATTTTTCATCGAAAAAATTGTCTCGTCATTTTTAATCAATTGAAGATAATGCATAGTTACTAGTCATTATCTTTATTCTATTTCGATCGATCAGCTCAATACTATTAGTGACATCAAAGGTTTTGTTTTCATTGGAAAATTTTTAGAACATATTTCATTGAATTATCATTATTTATTGGAATAAAGACATTCGAATTTTTTTCTGATGTTCTGAAAATATTATTCCTTTATAGGTAGAAGGTCATCTCCATGAATAGAAACTATTATGTTCATAATTTACCCAGTAGTATGTTAATATGTGGTTCGAGCAAGGGGGAAACAGCTGATTCTATGGTGATAGAATCATCGGAATCAATAGAATCACTCAGAATCACACAGAATCAATAGAATCACTCAGAATCACTCAGAATCACTCAGAATCACCTGGAATCACTTGGAATCAGATACAATAAAACCCCTAAAAATGGATGCCTATGCTTCTTATCAAGCTGGATCGAGCACATTTCATCACTTAGCAGCAGTTAATAAGATTTTTGCCGTTTTTTTTACCAAGTAGTAGAATTAATTTCATCATTTTACAACAAAGAAGCAAATTTTGTTAAGCCCGTGTATATTTTCTTCAGAAGCATACACGTGTGTAAGTTCAAATCGAGGCTTTTTGCAACTTCTCCTTGGTTCTAGCAATGGCGAGTGAGAAGGGGAGGAGAAAGTCAAAGATCATTTGGTAGGTTTCTATAGTAACGAGAAAAGTGGTGTAAACTTTAACGATGGTTATGTCATTCTGAAACTCTGTACACTCTAACTACGTAGTCTAGATATGACAGGTTTTGTTATTTAATGCAGAGAAAAAGTGTTATTGTAGGTATCATTCAGTAGGTCGATGCTATTATTCATCTAATAGAGTGAGAATAGAATGAGCACGTAAAATTGCAAAATAATTGAATTCCAAGTTTAGAAAAAACTCAACATTATATCTCACAATTTGTCAAAAGATATAATAGTGTACCAGATTCTCTATGAATGATCAAATCAATGTGTATATCAAACTAATATGGTAGTTGAACAGACGATTGAAAGAATAAAATGATATGTGCGCTTCATACAACATGTGTCGTGCATATTATCATTAGAACAAAAGAATCGAGGGATTGACGATGTACTGTATTTCACATTAGAATAAGCTTTTTCAGTTTAACAATATTAAATGAATTGAATAATTTGCTCGAATAATAATAATAAATGAACACATTTTCGAGATGTTTAAATGTAAGAGCACACGTATCAGCTATAAAAAGTTGTAATCGTTTTGGATGATTAATTTGTTAAATTATTTGAAGCCCTTTTACATTTTGTCTCAAGTATATGTTAGAGGGGAGATTAAAATCTAGAGCAATTTAAAAGTCCCCTAGAGAAGTTTCAGGGAAATTAAAAATTGCTCTGAATTTTAATTTTCCCTGCAACATATAGAACAAACAGAGTTTCTGAGTGCCCCATTTTCACCTCTCAAGGCACAAAGTGACAAGTTTTCTGACAGTTTGTATCATATCAACGAGATTATCTAATCCTTTTCTAGCACGTAATGAGTTTCCCAAGTAGTTTTCGACTGATTGGGCCCAGAACGATTCTTAATCTTTTCAAAGTTATTGAAGTGAATCTGATTCTCCAAGTCAGAACACCTAGAAAACTTGCCTGGCTACTGGAAGCAGCGACACCAATCTGATTGACACGTTAGAAACTGCTCTAAAATAGGGGTGACCCTTTATTTTTACTTTCCTTTATACTAAGGGGCAAAGATCAATGATTTCTTTATCTGTATTATCTAAAGATAAAGGATTCATTTATCTTTATTTAGTAAAGTAAGACTAAATGACCGCTCCTATTCTATAGCCAATGAAGATATCAATATTCTTCGGTGCCGTTTGTGCAAAAACTCTTACAATTGAAAATTTCTATCACCATTGATAATGAGAAAAAAGAGAAAGTTTTTGATGTTTCGCGATTTCTCTTGTTCCACACTTTCCGTAAATTGATTTTTTCGACATCTTTATTTCGAATAAAAATTAGCCAAAATGAAACAGATCAATACACTCTGTTTACAGTGAAAATTTAATTTTGGTTTGTCATTCGTTGAAAACATGAGGTTGTAGTGAATTTTATAACCTAGCAATTGTAGAGTGAAACGGATTCTACTTATCGTTTCTCAGAACTCAATAATCACAATACTATCGGATTCTTTTGGATTCATAAAAGCGTACATTTTAATAGCATCTCAAAGGACTCAATTGGTGTCAGACAAATTGCAACTAGGCAGTAAGAAATAGGGAAATGTAGAGAGTCGACAACTTCTATTTCTAAAAGCGTCTATGATAGGCATGAAGTGTTCTCCTCTACAGCTAAAATGAAGAATTGATGCCTTTTTTAATTTAACTGGTTAGAATTTCTGCTCAGCTATCACCTGTCAGGTTCGATTTCAACGAAAAGACTATATTTTGTTTCATTTCATTGACATTCAATGGCTTAATGTTACTTAGTCGAGCTCGTAAGTCATAAGATCGGGTTCTCAGAGTGATGCACTAGCCCGAAGCCAATGCAACATCATCCTTATATATTCATGTCTTTGTGTTTCGGTATTCTGTGTGGGCAAGCTGTAGAACATCGTCCGCGATGCTCTTAGTATGAGCGACAGAGTATTTCTTATGAAACGTTCTCTCCATGCATACAACAGGGAATGTATGCATTTTTTAGCCTAACTGGTAAGAACGGCAACGCGAATAGCCGGAAATATGTAGTTCCAGTCCCGTAAAGTAGTTCTCGTACTCTTGGTTATGCTGTTGTTCCATCACAATCCTTGGTCCGTCTTGAGAGTCACAAATAGCAATACCCCTAACGGAGTTTATAGAATATCGTGTGGTCCTGAACTTTTTAGGAAGAGTTGATACTAATATGCATAAGGTGGCTATCTTTTGCGTTTGGTACAGCAAGCAAAATGAAACCTTAAGTCAGCTACTTGAACACTCAGAGTATTTCATACTTCTTGAAAGCTACTATATGTACGATCTTCTGCTTCCTGATATTCCATATTTCAGAGTTTTCCTCTCCATCCCATCGAGCTTTCACAAACTGTATATATTAACAATGAGCTCCCGTTTAGAAAACGAGGCAGCAGTTGTAATCAGGATGAAAAATAATGAAAAATCGAGAAACAACAGTAATCCAATTTCTCTCACGATTTAATGTTGATTTCAACTAGATGTAACATTTTGAGATCATTACCGGGCGAGAAAGTTCACTTATGGCCTGTAATCCTTTGATTGACCGTCATAAAATAATGAAACAAACCTCATTGGCCGGTTAGATATCGGTCCATTGTGTGATTTGATTGTTGTGAAATGAAAAATAATTTACTTTTGTCTAAGATTCAGCAATATCGAGAATGCATTGTTTGTGCTCGACTTATTGATTCTTACGACGATGAGTCAGCTGTTTCCCTTATTGATTGGAATGATCAGGAATCTTCAGAACTCATCTCTCTAATGATTCTATGATGTTTCTATTGATGTGACGGTATCACAGTCGAGAAAAACAATGATATTCATAGTAATTCCAGAGTCAGTGGAATCATGTAGAATCACACGGAATCACGTGGAATCACATAGAATCAATAGAATCATATAGAATGAATAGAATCACATAGAATCAATAGAATCACATGGAATCATGGAATCACGGAATCAGCTTTTTTCCCCTTGGGTTCGAGTCTATTACAAAAAGGATTCGTTCATTTGTCGAATTTTCACTAGAATAAGTGATTTTTTTTCATTCTTAATAGCTACACTTTTCAATCTATATATATAATGTTCAGTGTGTGTCTGTCTGTGTGTGTCTGTGCCGGGTCAAAGGTCAAAGGTTAAAGGTCAAATAAGGCTATAAGAGAAGCCGCCAAGAGCTACTGGGGACTCATAGGTCCACAAGAACTATTATATAGGAGTACTCATAGATCGTCAAAGGCTATTATATGGAGGCACTCATAGGTCCTCAAGGACTATTATATGGGGTTATCCATAGGTCCTCATGGGCTACTATACGGAGGTATTCACAGTCCTCAAGGACTATTATATGGGGTTATCCATAGGTCCTCATGGGCTATTATACGGAGGTATTCATAAGTCCTCAAGGGCTATAAGGCTATAAGGGGATGGGAGATAAGGGGATAAGGCTATAAGCTGGTAAGGAGATAAGGGTATAAGGTTATGAGGGGATAAGGATATAAGGGTAAAGGGGATAAGAGGCTAAGGCTAGAGGAGCATAAACAATAAAGCTAAAAGAGTATAAAGAGATAAGGGTAAAGCGGATAAGTAGATGAGGCTGCATGGGATCTAAGAGATAAGGGAATAACGGAATAAGACTATAAGAAGTAATACTACAAGAGTATAAGGCTACAAGAGGTAAGGCTACGAGGGTCTCTATATATATAATGCGAACTATCTGATTGTCTATTACCGAATCAAAGCTAAAGGACAGATGTGAAAGTTTACAGGAAAAAAGCATCCGTGCAGTATGCACGGGCTCTCACTAGTAGAAATATAATGTTTAAGACGTTTTTGTCTTGAAGCTGTGCCGATTTTACGCAATATCAAAAGAACAATAGTTCATTAGTTTTGGAAATTTTGAGACTTTTGTATACGTGCTAAGGTAAGTCTTTGAAATTTTGATTTGAGCAAAATTTCAAGTCTAAACTTTTTTTTTCAAAAGATAAGTTCTTATATAAAAATCGTTTATCTAGATCATGTAAAATTAAATTATCTCGGTAAAAAAACAAATAAATGA